GAAACCAGGTTTACCTGTGTCGATGAAGAAAGGCTTCTTTGTCGGGGCATCGCGTCCAGACTCTCCCGATCTGCCGACAAACAGCTGATCGGCAGATCGGGGCAGCCATTTAAATTTAAATGAAGCCGCGATTATTTTAATCGCGGCTTCATTTCCCCCTTCCGATCTGGCTAATCTACATGCCTCCGTCGACGGAGGCATGGAGTCTGGACACAGCCTTGCATTCAGGATATGACCGAGAGGCTTCCAAAAGTGATTAAACCTTTGGATCACTACCCCTTCCTCCTTCATCATGTAAGAACTAATGATACAGCTAAGAATGATCTTGAGTGGGTCACAGCAAATTATGAAGCCCTAGGAAGAAGGATCAAAGAAATTTGAAGGGCAAGTGGTGTTCTCATCCATCCTTCCAACTGAAGGAAAAGATCTAGGTAGGGATCGTCAAACTGAGGTAGTAAATGCGTGGTTGTATAGGTGGTGTCGGAGAGAGGGCTTTGATGTCTTCGACCATGGGACCCTGTTCCAGGCACAAGGATTGTTAGGAAGAGATGGGATTCACGTAACCAAGAGAGGAAAGAGCATCTTCGCGGGCAGGCTTGCAAACCTAGTGAGGAGGGCTTTATTAAACTAGGCTTGTTGGGGGATGGTGATCAAAGCCCTGAGGTAAGTGAGGAAAAGTTGGACACCGGGAAGAATCACAAGGAGGAACGAGCAACAAAGGAGGACCCCTAATTCGGATGGAGAAGGCAGGGCAATCAACTGGTTATCTAACGTGTTTGTAGACCAATGCGAGAAGCCTGGGAAACAAACAGGAAGAATTAGAAGCCCTGGCCCAGTCGAAGAACTATGATTTGATTGGAATAACGGAGACTTGGTGGGATGACTTGCATGACTGGAGCACTGTCATGGAAGGGTATAAACTGTTCAGAAAGAACAAATGCGGGAGAAAAGGAGGAGGAGTTGCATTGTATGTAAGAAAGCAGGATGATTGCTCGGAGCTCCAGTACTTGGAGAGAGAAAAGACTGTTGAGAGTCTATGGGTTAAATTTAGAGATGGAAGCAACAGGAGCGATATTGTCATTGGTGTCTGCTATAGACCCCTGGATCAGGTGGATGAGGTAGACAAAGCTTTCTTTGGACAACTGAGAGAAGCTTCCAGAGCAGGCCCTGGTTCTCATGGGCGACTTTAATCACCCTGACATCTGTTGGGAGACCAATAAAGCAGTACACAGACAATCCAGGAAGATTTTGGAGATTGTTGGGGATAACTTCTTGGTACAAGTGCTGAAGGAACTGACCAGGGGCCATGCGCGGCTTGACGTGCTGCTCACAAACAGGGAGGAACTAGTAGGGGAAGTAGAGGTGGGTGACAACCTCGGAAGCAGTGATCATGAGATGGTAAATTTCAGGATCCTGACCAAAGGAAGAAAGGAGAGTAGCAAAATACACACCCTGGACTTCAGAAGAGCAGACTTTGACTCCCTCAGAGAACTGATGAGCAGGATTACCTGGGATGCTTACACTAAGGAGAAAGGAGTGTAGGAGAGCTGGCAGTATTTTAAAGAAGCCTTATTAAAGGCACAGGAAGAAACCATCCCGATGAGCAGCAAGAAAAGCAAATATGGTAGGCGACCAGATTGGCTTACCGGGGACATCCGTGGTGAGCTTAAACACAAAAAGGAAGTTTACACAAAGTGGAAATTTAGACAGATGACTAGTGAGGAGTACAAATATATTGCTCGAGAATTCAGGGGAGTTATCAGGAAGGCGAAAGCGCAATTGGAATTGCAGCTGGCAAGGGATGTGAAGGGCAACAAGAAAGGTTTCTACAGGCATGTTAGTAATAAAAGGGTGATCAGAGAGGATGTGGGGCCCTGACTGGATGAGGGAAGTAACCTAGTGACAGATGATGTGGGAAAAGCTGAAGTACTCAATGCTTTCTTTGCAGGTGTCTTCATGGACAAGATCAGCTCCAAGACAAATGCACTAGGCATCTCAGTATGGGAAGGTGGTGTACAGCCGTTGGTGGGGAAAGAACAAGTTAGGAACTATTTAGAAACGTTAAACACAAATCCATTGGCCCAGATTTAATGCATCCAAGGGTACTGAGGGAGTTGGCAAATATCATTGCAGAGCCTTTGGCCATTATCTTTGAAAACTTGTGGAGATTGGGAGAGATCCCGGATGATTAGAAAAAGGCAAATGTAGTGCCCATCTTTAAAAAAGGGAAGAAGGACCAGTCAGCCTTACCTCAGTCCCTGGAAAAATCATGGACGGGATACTCAAGGAATCCCTTTTGAAGCACTTGGAAGAGGGGAAAGTGATCAGGAATAGTCAACATGGATTCACGAAGGGCAAGTCGTGCCTGACCAATCTGATTAGCTTCTATGATGAGGTAACTAGCTCTGTGGATATGGGAAAGTCAGTGGATGTGATATACCTTGACTTTAGCAAAGCTTTTGATACTGTCTCCCACAATATTCTTGCCAGCAAGTTAAGGGAGTGTGGGTTGGATAAATGGACTGTGAGATGGGTAGAAATCTGGCTAGACTGTCAGGCCCAATGGGTAGTGATTAACAGCTCGATGTCAGGTTGGTGATCGGTTTCTAGCGGAGTGCCCCAAGGATCTGTTCTTGGACCGGTTTTATTCAATATCTTTATTAATGATGTGGATGAGGGGATGGATTGCACCCTCAGCAAGTTTGCAGATGACTCTAAGCTAGGGGAAGAGAGAGATATGTCCAGAGTGACTTAGACAAATTGAAGGATTAGGCCACAAGAACTCTGATACAGTTCAACAAGGACAAGTGCAGAGTCCTGCACTTGGGACAGGAGAATCCCAAGCACTGTTACAGGCTGGTGACTGAATGGCTAAGTAGCAGTTTTGCAGAAAAGGACCTGGGGATTACAGTGGATGAGAAGCTGGATATGAGTCAACAGTGTGCACTTGTAGACAAGAAGGCTAATGGTATATTAGGGTGCATTAGGAGGAGCATTGCCTGCAGATCCATAGAAGTGATTATTCCCCTTTATTTGGCTCTGATGAGGCCACATCTGGAATATTGTGTACAGTTCTGGGCCCCCCACTATAGAAAGGATGTGGACGCATTGGAGAGGGTCCAGTGGAGGGCGACCAAAATGATTAGGGGGCTGGCGTGCATGACCTATAAGGAGAGTCTGAGGGATTTGGGTTTGTTTAGTTTGCAGAAGAGAAGAGTGATTTGATAGCAGCCTTCAACTTCCTGAAGGGAGCTTCCAAAGAGGATAAAGAGAGGCTGTTCTCAGTAATGACGGATGGCAGAGCAAGGAGCAATGGTCTCAAGTTACAGTGGGAGAGGTCTAGGTTGGATATTAGGAAAATTATTTCCCTAGGAGTGTGGTGAAGCACTGGAATGGGTTACTTAGGGAGGTGGTGGAATCTCCATCCTTAGAGGTGTTTAAGTCTCAGCTTGACAAAGCCCTGGCCGGGTTGATTTAGTTGGGATTGGTCCTGCCTTGGACAGGGGGCTAAACTTGATGACCTCCTGAGGTCTCATTCAGCTCTATGATTCTATGACTCTATCTCTAAGGACCAGATTTTAAAAAGACCAGATCCTCATCAGAGTCCTCCATCTGAGTATATTGTTGAGGCCAAGACCACTTCATCTGGTGTATTTCCCTCCCCTCCCCACCAAGGTAATTAGACTTTAGGGTTATTTGGACTTTTTGTTACTCTGGGAGGGGTCCTACTTTAAGTAACATGGCCAAGGGGCTGGTTCAAAAGAAAGGTCAGATCATGCAATGGCCTAGTCTGCTGCTGGCAGGAGGCAAGAGACATAAAGGTTTATGCTATGCTTAGCTGTGAAGGGGACACAGCAACCTGTACCTGGTCTGGAGCTCTCCAACTTCCAGGTATCAGGCATCTGAAAAGATAGCTCTGTTTAAAAATCAAAGAAGTAAAGAAAGAATCCTCACTATACTCCCCGAAACTCACATTGCTAGCCAGCATTGTGTTAAGTGTCTGGAAAGATGTGAATTGTTCTGCTTTGTCCCTAAGTTTCTACTGATCTCCTATATACTAAGAGATTGGATGGTGATGAAGAATAGGTTTTGCTCATTTTTCCTGTGCTTATTTGTCCTTTAAGTACTTACAGAGAGAAAGGAAATCTTGGATTTTCATTATGTTGGTGGGAGACAAATGCTTCAGCTGGTCTAGTGGTGTTGTG